CCTCCCCTGGTCTGTCTGTCTTATATATTTAGTTCAATCCGGCATACACTTCCTCTATTTTAGCCTCACAACAACCCTGTGAGGTAGGTTGGGTCGGGGGAGAAAGAGGGAGAGAGAGAGATGGTGACTGACTAACCTAAAGTCACTCAGCAGTCTTCATGAGAACATGGGGATCGGAACCCAGATCTCCTTGCTCCTTCTCAGCCTGGTCTATAACTCCTATGCCACACTGCCCGGCTTGGTTCCGGTCGGGTCCATCCCAGCCCCCAATTTTGTTTTGCTGCTGCCAGGCCGCCTGGAGAAACCAACACAAGAGCAACATCGGCTCTGTTATCCAGGCGTTTTGGCAGCGGCCCGAAGCCAATGAACTCTCTCTCGCTCTGTCTGCAATGTATCCTGTGCGGGGGCTGCCAAGAGCTTGGAAATTGCCTCTCTGAAAGCAAACGGCCCCGGCGGCCACAGCTTTAAGGGCCGAGGAGAGATCCGGAGGCTGGACTCTCTCCGCTGCTCAGCGCCTATCCAAACTGTCTTCGTTTCTCTAATACCTTTTCCACCGGCCTGCACATGTTTTCTTTTCCCTAACTGGTCAGTCTCGCTCGTTGTTCTGTCTGCAACCAGTCATGTAATCCCAGCGGTTTTCAGACCATGGAGAATCCTGGAGCTCTTCACATGCATCTTAAGGCTTCCTCGAGGAGAAGTTTGGTCACGGGAACCATCTTGACTGAAATTCAGCTCAGCGGAGGCCCAAGGGCCGAACACCCAAGAAGCCTCCCCAATTCCCAGGGGGCTCCCCCTACCTGAAAAGCTAACATGGAACAAAGAATCTCTCTAAGTAAGCTTTTCGAAAAGGGCGGATGAAACCTCGCAGAAATCTGCTCTGAGCGCCGCGGCCCATTATCCTAACGCAGCTCGCTCGACTCTGGAATTGTATCCACTTTCCGATGTCCCGGTTTCACCCCGCCGACCGTGTCCCCCTCTGACTGTGACACCCACCCGCCGCTCGTTGACGGAAGCTCGGAGCTGCATGTATGAACGGGCCGGTGCTTGTCAAACGACGCAGACGGTGCACATGAAACCTCGCAGAAATCTGCTCTGAGCGCCGCGGCCCATTATCCTAACGCAGCTCGCTTGACTCAGGAATTGTATCCACTTTCCGATGTCCCGGTTTCACCCCGCCGACCGTGTCCCCCTCTGACTGTGACACCCGCCCGCCGCTCGTTGACGGAAGCTCGGAGCTGCATGTACGAACGGGCCGGTGCTTGTCAAACGACGCAGACGGTGCACATGCTCAGGCCACAAGCCCTGCTGATGCGAGTCTGTAAGTGACTATCCTGAGGCCACAAGCCCTGCTGATGCGAGTCTGTGACTATCCTAAGGAGGTACTTGCGTGTGTGAACGGGCTAGTCTCCACCCTGCTTCTAAAGCAGGGGTCCTCAACCTTTTTGAGCTGCGGGCACCTTTGGAATTCTGACAGAGAGTATTCCTGTCCAGCGCGAGCTGGAAGTTACATCTTGTGATCTAAGTCAATTCTATTGCCGTGGTGAGAGAAGAGATGGGCTTCCCCTCTCCTTTGCAGTAAGGGTTGATGGACAAAGGAACGGAAAAGAACAATAAACTCCTATCTCTGAGCTCAGGAAATTACTCTTAATGAGCCAGTCAGAGGGAAGCTTCTGGGACCCCTAACTGTGGACTCCAATTCCCAGGGTGCAACTACTCTTAAAGGTACATTAAAGCTGGCTGGGGCAGCACAGAGAGTGATGGGTGCAATCACAAGATGGCTGCCACAGTAGGTGGAGCTTAACTGCAGGGGAGAAGAGGGATAATTTGGATAAATACACCGGGGAAGAGGAGCGAGAGACAATACAACAGACACTGTGGTGGCCGCTGCCTCTGAGACAATGTTAATTTCATTTGCACAGCCAATCAGAGCCCCAGCGGCCAGTCAAAAGCCCTACTGGGCGAGTCCCCCACCTGGACACACCCACTTTCTGAAAATGTTTGTTGGGCAGCAGGAAAGGTATCCCCAGGCGCCACGGCGTTCACGGACAGGGGACCTCTGTTCTGAAGCATTGCCAGACTTAACAGCAGGTTGAGCAGATTCTCATCCACCATTCCCTACAGATCTTCTCGAGGGAGTCCTACCAGTATCTTATGTTGGGTTGACGGGTCTACAGTGGGAAACCTCCCGTCAGCAACCCTCTGGTGCCAGTTGGTAGGCCAGGGAGGGTGGAATCGAGAACAAATGCTATTGCATTTACGGCACAATGTCATTTCCAGGCCAAGCCCGGAAGTGACATCACGCCGTTTTAGCACTCAGTGGAAACGCTACGGTAAAACCCCGGCAACCTTACCTCTGCCTAAAACGGTGATTTCAACCTTCTTATCCCCGTGGCGACCGTTCCCGTGACCCCAGTCAAGCCGTGGATGAGACACCCGATTATAAACCATTCTCCACCAGGCCAGGCCTGCCTAGAGTGCTCACTTGTGTTGTCATGGTAACAAACAGGAAGCCTCTTACAAGGTCTCTACCAAGCAGTCCCAGCCAGTGTTCCCTCTAAGCTGAGTTGTTGTGAGCTAGCTCACAGTTTCTTAGCCTCTGGCTCACACATTTTTGGCTCCGCTCAGGGAGGAGGGCTCCAGAGCAAACTAATTTTGTTGTTGTTGATGGGTCTCCCTGTGAGGGAGCACATCCAACCTGTGCTGAGGTCGCTGCACTGGCTGCCAATAGCGTTCTGGATATGCTTCAAGGTGCTGGTTATGACCTTTAAAGCCCTTTATGGTCTGGGGCCTGCCTACCTGCGGGAACGCCTTCCCCCGTATGTTCCCCCAAGAGCACTGAGATCTGAATCGCAGAATCGCTTAGTCCCCCCTGGCCCTAGGGACGCTAAGTTAACAGCGACGAGAACCAGGGCGTTTTCCTTAGCTGCACCAGTATGGTGGAATCAGCTGCCGAATGAAATCCGCGCTTTGCGGGATCTCCACCAATTCCGCAGAGCGGTAAAGACTGAGCTATTCCGCCAAGCGTTTAACAGCCCAGATCAAACACTCTAGCACTTTATATGGACGGCCGCCATGTGCAAACTGTAATGCTCTAATTGTAATTTTATTGTTAATAAGTTATATTGGCTGTTTTATTGACTATTTTTAGATGTACTGCATTAATCCTTACTGGTTTTTAATTGCTGTAAGCCGCCCTGAGCTGCTTCGGTGGGAGGGCGGGATAAAAATCTAATAAATAAATAAATAAATAAATAATTTATGCAGTGGCCAAATTGCTGGCTCACAAATTTAATGCCAGTAGCTCACAAAGTGGAATTTTTGCTCACAAGACTTCATGTCTTAGCGGTAACATTGGAACCCCACCCCTAAACCAGAAGTTACCGCCTTCTGCCAAGGATGTGATAGTCATAAACATTTACTCTCTGGCATAAGGGGACGTGGCATCGTTGACTGGGGTACCATAGGCCGGGATGGAGCCAGTGAACCAAATGGGCTTCATTTGTTTGGTGGAAGGAGGTTGTATCCCCCACCTGCTTCCAAAAGCAGCTCCTCCGAGGCCTTTGAGAAACCACAAGCATGGAAGGATGGCCAAAGCTCTCCTCCGTGAATTTTGTTCTCAAGCCCTGCTATTTGGCAAGGGGTTACACTGCCTCTGGGCCTGGGGGTTCCATTTGGCAAGGGCCGTTTGCCTGGCAGACACACCATAATCTTGGGGCAGTGAATTCCCTACGTTTAAATGCCGCATAGCGTTAAGACGGCGTTTCCTCAGCCTACTGACAACCGGCGTCGTCGAGCGACTTCCCAGCCAAGTCCCAGGATTACAAAAGAGGCAGAAACATTTCTCCAGCACCCCCCCCCCGTGTTCATAACTCTGAATTATCAGGAGGAATCTAGCGAGTCTGACAGCGAAAGAAACCCCTTGTCCTCAGCTCTGACAAGAAACAAGCAGTTCTTACAGATTTTTGTTTGCAGTTGGGGGCAGCAAAAGAAGATCTTTAATGTTACACTCCAAAATGACAATGATTTTGTATTCCCCTGACCCGGACGTGACATAGCTTCTTATCCCGTCATTGACCCAACACTGAATGAACGTAACCCCACCCCAAAACCTCCTCCTACCATCTCCCATTACTTCCTTCCCCCTCCAGAGTTTTCTAGAAGGCTAACAAGTAGGCAGAGTCTCTGGTCGAGGAGGCGGGGCTAAATGGCTGGCAAGCCGTCAATAGCGGGACTAACCTCCTGCTCTGTGGGAGCTCACCTCTTTCACATGCTTGGTGCACATGTCGCAAGAGGCCGCAGATGTCTTCTCCTGTGGCACAGGTAGTCACTGAGGACGTGGAGTTAATCAAGCTGGGCAGAGTCCCGGTTCTCGTGCATGTGTAGGCAGGGACCTTTCCCATCCGCCGTGTTCTTTGGGGGTAGTATCCTTGGCACTGCCTTGGCCCCAGCCAGGGTTTCGAACGGTTTTGTACCATCTAAGAGGCAGCAGTTTCGACCCACTGAAAATTTGTTGTTCAAAACACCATTTTGTTGCCCAAAACACCGTTCCAATTCTTCGACCACCCCACCCAATCCTCCGTTCCTTTGAGGTTCTTTGGCCTTTAAAAAAACCCCAGACTTTTGCCATTTTGCGAAAGGGGACTTTGGTGTTCCAGCGCTGCTTGTTCAAAATTCAAGTGCCAGCTTATCATTTCGATATGTGGTAGAAGACTTGGGGAGGGGGGCGTTCCCTTTCCTTTTTTTTTTTAAATTGAAAATAACATTCTTGCGGGGGAAGGAAGATAAACTCTTTAAATAACTCTTTCAAAATCTGAAGCGAAATAATTAAAAAAAGAGAACTCAATATGTGCAATGGATATTTCCCCCAAAAGATTTAAAAAAATCAAAACAACAACAACAATAATAATATTATAATAATAAAATTCACGGAAGGGTGGTTTTTTTTCCTTTAAAGAAGCTTTTTTTTTGTTAAGGCATGAGGTTTGTTCTTTTTTTAAAAAAAAAACCAAACAGGAGTTGCAGGTGGGCATCCTGAATCGCCTTCAGTCCCGGGCCCCTTCTCTGCCTAGATTTTGAAAAGATTCCAACCCGCCTAGAAGGGATTTGCTGGGTCCGTGATTTTGAGTCCTTGTCCTCAGCTGCACCGGCAGGATTTGACAACCATATTTGAGAGCTGTTCCACCTTGGCAGCACGGCCGACATAATACGCAATCCCTAACGGCTCAAGTTGATCAGGAACACAGCAAGGCGAGGCGGAGGCGGACGGGTTGTGCTGGGTGTAGAGAGAGAGGACCTAAAGAGGAGGGCGGGAAAAGAACAGGCTGTTGAGAGGTGGGACATTCTGGAACGTTCTCTCGAACGTGGAGCCTTCTGGCACCTTAAGAGATTGTTTACGAACCTTATATCCTGCCTTTTTGCCCTCGTAGGGCCACTGAGGCAGCTAACCAATTAAAACGTACACAATAACATTGCACTTCAAAACCGTTTGCAAACCGATCGTTCTCCCGCAAAAATACACACATCATTAAAGCAATGAAAAACAGAGCTAAAATACACACAAAGGCATAAAACTAAGAAGAAGAGGAGGAGGAGGAGATTGGATTTATACCCCACCCTTCACTCGGAGTCTCAGAGCGGCTTACAAACTCCTTTCTATTCCCCTCCCCACAACAGACACCCTGTGAGGTGGTCGGGGCTGAGAGAGCTCTGACAGAAACGGCTCTTTTTCAAGAACAGCTGTGCCAGAGCTTGTGACTGACCCAAGGTCACATCAGCAGGTGCAAGTGGAGGAGTGGGGAATCAAACCC